GCAGTGCTCAGCTCTGGCAGTGCCCGGCTCTGGCAGTGCCCGGCTCTGGCAGTGCCCGGCTCTGGCAGTGCCCGGTTCTGGCAGTGCCCGGCTCTGGCAGTGCCCGGTTCTGGCAGTGCCCGGTTCTGGCAGTGCCCGGCTCGGGGCAGTGCCCGGCTCTGGCAGTGCTCAACTCTGGCAGTGCCCGGCTCTGGCAGTGCCCGGTTCTGGCAGTGCCCAATTCTGGCAGTGCCCAATTCTGGCAGTGCCCGGTTCTGGCAGTGCCCAATTCTGGCAGTGCCCGGCTCTGGCAGTGCCCGGTTCTGACACTGCCCGGCTCTGGCAGTGCCCGGCTCGGGGCAGTGCCCGGTTTTGGCAGTGCCCGGCTCAGGCAGTGCCCAATTCTGGCAGTGCCCGGCTCTGACACTGCCCGGCTCTGGCAGTGCCCGGCTCTGGCACTCGCCGGCTCTGGCAGTGCCTAATTCTGGCAGTGCCCGGCTCGCCCTCCTCCGCTGCTGCCCGGGCTCGTCCCTGCGCTGCGGAGCGGAGGCCTCTGGAAAGCGGAGACCCCTTCAGAGCGGGGGCGGGGGGCACTTTCCTCCGGCGCTCTCCCGTGCTGCTGTGGCGAGTATCGATGGAAACACAAGCAGTTTCATCTGAATAGCTGGAAACCCCAGACTTCCAGAAAGGAAGGGAAGTGACACGTTCCCTCTGCCCCACATTTCCCCATTTTCATCAACAACAGAAAGCTTGGCTGTTTGGATAAGCATTTTTATTTACAAAGCAAATGATAATGCTGAACGGAATTACGGTTCAAATCAGTGGCTTAAATATTATTTGCCAAGGCAAATTATTTACCACTGTAGTTTGCCACATTTTTTTCTCTGATGAAAGCTTCTTTCATTAAAGTGTTTACTAACAATTACATTTAAAGGGACAGAGTCAAGGTTTGTAGGCCCTCGGATGGACTGAGCTTCCCTTGGGACCTGTCCCATATTCTATACCAGCATTGAAAGATACAGTACAGTTTTCTTTAAAATATTTTGCAGTATTAAACACATACAATTTTGAACTTTGTTTAGAGGTAACTTTTACCTGCTGAAATAACTCCTCCACCGTGTAGCTTTACAGGACAGAGTCTAAAAATCCCTTCATTTTGCTGCCCAGGTGTCAGCCTGCCAGCCTTTGCTAGAATCTGATCCTTTTAAATGCAGCTTCTTAACCGAAAGTGGCTCCATTGTGCAGCTGCAACTTTACATTTCAAGGCTCAAGGCAATGTAATTAGCTTGAAAATTCCTACACTAGGACATTGTATTTCTTTTCCTTGCACAGACTGAGACTTTGAATTCAAGACTCATCTTCTAATGTTCACTTTATCACTAGATGGGCTGAAAAAAAAAAAAAAAGTTGCAACAGGCACTATTTTTCTACCAAAAAAGCTGTGTATAGAGGTCTAAAGAAAAGTAATCATCAAAGGTTTCACCAGCTGTTCCTATAAAATTCTTTACCCTTAGCCTCTGGTATATCCTGTGGTTTAACAACTTTATCCCCAAATGCTAGGTAAGTGCAGCAGTGTGCAACCGCAGCAGAAGGGAAACCTAAAGTGTCACAAATAAAATTCCTCAACAGTGTTGCCTATGTATCTTAACTAATCAAGTTCATAATTTCAGAGGCAAAATATGGGAATTGGTAGCCCCAGGCTCTCCTCCAAGCTAGGACCTTTGGATCACCAAGGGACTCAGGAAAAAACACAACAGACTTTTCAAATTGGGTGGCAAAATCTGTGTGCCCAAACCAATACATGAAGTCTCTGAGACGCTCTCAATTTCAGAGCCTTTGCTGTTCCTGCATGTCTTCCTAACACACAGGTCCTCAGTTTTTTTGAAAGAAGGTTCCTACATATGTTAAAAATGGCCATTCAGAAAAAATGCCTCAACAAATAAAACCAAAAACTACAGCATTATGAATGACTTCTGCCAATTTAAGCATACATATTTCATTCTTCCACTCATGTTACATCTCTGGAGCTGGTAAACTTCACAATTTTACATAAATGGAAGAGCATATTTTATGTTTCCTAGTCCATGTTACAAGTGTATTAAATTAATTCACCTCCTTTGTAATGTCCTTTAGAGCTATAGATGATGACTCTGAAACTACTAATCTTTTTCATCTGTGTTATGTAAGACACATTTTCCAGTAGCTCTGAACTGAACACAGTCAGATGCATAATGTTCTTTTTGTCACAAGCATTGTGCCTGAAGCTATCCCACAGATTCAAAAGGAACTTATTAGCGTAAACAAGGTCTAATGATTTTGTTCAGGAAAAATTTCACTGTTGGGATCAGTGGCAACTAATTTTTTCAGCAACTAATTGCCATTTTACTAATCAGAAAAGAAAGGACTAAAGCTGAATTAATGTATTTCTGGCCCACAAATTCAGCAATTCAGTGGAAGTTTTAAAGATTAAATCAAACACACTAAAACGGAATTTTAACAAGGTCGTCAGAATATGAAATGCTTCTTCCTCAGTTTTTTCTGCATAAAAAGTGGCCTTTGGCTTTTCAGGCTTGCAAGATCACACTGATTATTTAACACGGGATGCAAAGCTTACAGCGAGGCACCAGATGGCGCCTCACAGGAGACGTTCGTGCTGTGACATTTCTAGTTACAAACGTTCACAGAGCCACAAAATCACAGGATCGTTTAGGCTGGAAAAAAACATTAAGATCACTGAGTCCAACCCCATGTCCACCACTAAACCACGTCCCTAAGTGCCACAGATAAACGTCTTTTAAATACCTCCAGAGACAGTAACTCCACCAGCTTCTCTGGGCAGTGTGACAACCATGAAGAAATTTTTCCTAATATCCAGTCTAAACCTCCCTTGGTACAACCTGAGGCCATTTTGTCTCATCCTGTTACGCATTACTTGGAAGAAGAGAGCAAACTCCACCTGGCTACAGCCTCCTTTCAGGCACTTGTGAAGAGTGGTAAGGTCTTGCCTGAGCCTCCTTTTCCCCAGCTCCCTCAGTTTCTCCTCATCTGCTCCAGACCCTTCTCCAGCCCTCCCCTGGACATGCTCCAGCTCATCAATGTCCTTTTTGAAATGAGGGGCACAAAAATGAACCCAGGATTCAAGGTGCAGCCTCCTGAGTGCCAGGTCACTGCCCTGCTGGCCTCACTGTTCCTGATCCAGGCCAGGATGCTGGTGGCTGCCTTGGCTACCTGAGCACACACTGGCTCGTGTTCAGCCACTGTTGATCACCACTCCCAGGTCCTTTTCTGCTGGGCAACAAGCTGACTTGAGGGTGCCCTCAATCTCCTTGTCCAGATCATCATTAATGATATTAAACTTTCAAATTAAATTCAGAGGTACTGACCCCAGTACTGAGCCTTGGAGGCTGGGCACCAACTGGATTTAACTCTATCACCACTCCCTGGGCCCAGCCGTCCAGCCAGTTTTTTAATCCAGTGAAAAGGGCACCCATCCAGCTCACAAACAGACAATTTTTTCCAGAAGAATGCTGTGGGAAATGGTATCAAAGGCTATTCCTAGAGTTAATATAAGCAAGGCAGTACTTACAGTCTTATATAAAACTCATTTTTCTTGAGTAGTTTTTCTAGTGAGAAAAGGAATGCAGAGAAGTCAAGTATACTGGCTGAGTCAGAGGTTGGGGATGGAGGGAATTCTACTGAAATGAGTGTTTTTAGCTGCTGTCAACTTTGCACTGGATGCATCGGGTGACTGAGGGACCAGGGTGAAAGCCTCCTCTAGGGTTGACAGCAACATGAAAGACAGAAAGGTGAAGGATTTCTCTATAGTGTCTCAGAGCTCTCATCCTCCCAAACATAGCATCCACGTATTCTTGTGGCCAAGAAAAAGTCAGTTGAGTGGACAAAATAGCAAAGGAACAAAGTAACAAAAAATAAAAATTAACAAAATCTTTTGACAAACCATAGAAATTCAAGTAAGTAGTATCCACACCAAGCACAGGTACAAGCTCTGGGAACCCAAACGAACTTTTGCAGCCAGAGTGATCATGGGAAGAGTTGAGTACCTTACTGAAGACACCCTGAGTCTTAACAAAATCATAAGAAGCACAATATACCAAGAGATAGAGCTGATTCCTGTGTATAAAGGACTTTAAACCACGCTTT